CAGTAATCAAATATTTTGCACCAAAACTCCTTCATACTTGAAGTTCACTTCCCTACACAATTTTTTAAGTATATCTTCATATATCTCACAACAGTAAAATCTAAGAAAGAATTTGGGGAGGGATGAGAAGAGGTGAGGGAGAAGCACAACAAGAATGTGGGTTTGGGGGCCCAGTGCGGTAGCCTAATGGCTGGAGTCCTTGCCTTGCACAAACTGGGAAGGCATATGGGTGCCATCCATATCCTTGCAGCCCTGCTTCCCATCCAGCTCCCTGCTTATGGCCTGGGAAAGCAGTCAAGGATGGCCCAAAGCCTTGGGATCCAGCATCCGTGTGGGAGACCTGGAAGAGGTTTTGGATTGGCTCAGCTCTGGCTGTTGTGGCCACCTGGGGAGTGAACCAGCAGACAGAAGACTTTTCTCTCTGTCTCTCCTTCGCTCTGTAAATCTGACTTTAAAAAATCTTATTAAAAAGATTTAAAAGAAGAAATTTTTAAGATTTCTCTGAAAAGGGCCCGGCACGATGGCGCAAGTGGTTAAGGTCCTCACCTTGCACACCCGGGATCCCATACGGACGCCAGTTCTAATCCCAGCAGTCCTGCTTCCCATCCAGCTCCCTGCCTGTGGCCTTGGAAAGCAGTTGAGGATGGCCCAAAGCTTTGGGACCCTGCACCCGCGTGGGAGACCCGGAAGAGGCTCCTGGCTTCGGATTGGCTCAACTCCAGCCGTTGTGCTCACTTGGGGAGTGAATCATCGGATGGAAGATCTTCCTCTCTGTCTCTCCTCTCTGTATATCCGCCTTTCCAATAAAAAATAAAATAAATCTTAAAAAAATAAGATTTCTCTGAAAAGCACAATGTCAAAGACAGAAAGCAAACACTTCTCTCTGTTGATTGACTCCTCGAGGACCACAACAGTCAAAGATGGGGCAGGCTGAAGCCGGGAGCCTAGAACTCCAACACTTCTCACTGGTGGATGGATGTGGCCCAGGGGCTTTGCACATCTGTTGGTTTTCCTGGGGGCGTTAGCAGGGAGTGGGATCAGAAATGCAACAGTTGTAACTCAAACCAATGCTCTCCTAGGAGCACCTGCAGCTAAACTCACCTCAACAAACCCACCTCACCTCAACACTGGTCTCAAAGGCATGACGTCAAGGCAGTGCTGGCACGCCACACAGGTGTCGGTTCTGGTCCCTGCTGCTTCTACCCCTGCTCCAGCCGCTTGCTAATGGCAAAAGATGACTCATGTCCACATGCCAGACCCACAAGAAGCTCCAGGCTTTAAAGAGGCCCAACTGTGCAGTCATTTGGGGAATGAAACACAGGATGGAAGATTCCCTCTCTCTTTGATTTTCAAATAAATAAGTCTTTTCTGAAAAAGGCATTTACATCGGGCCCAGTGGCGTGGCCTAGCGGCTCAAGTCCTCGCCTTGAACGCGCTGGGATCCCATATGGGCACTGGTTCTAATCCCGGCAGCCCCGCTTCCCATCCAGCTCCCTGCTTGTGGCCTGGGAAAGCAGTCGAGGACGGCCCAAAGCTTTGGGACCTTGTACCCATGTGGGATACCCGGAAGAAGTTCCTGGCTCCTGGCTTCAGATCGGCATAGCACCAGCTGTTGTGCTCACTTGGGGAATGAATCATTGGACGGAAGATCTTCCTCTCTGTCTCTCCTCCTCTCTGAATATGTATATCTGACTTTCCAATAAATAAATAAATCTTTAAAAAAAAAAGACATTTACATCATAGTATCTTCCTTAACTCTCAAATAGGCACAGAGAACTGTTCAGCACTAGGCAGCTGTCTTATTTCACATGTATTATTTTCATGAATAATTTATTCAACAGCAGCGATTGGACTATAAAGAAAAGATCTTTTTCTTAAAGTATCTACATGGGCGCAGCATGGAGACCAATGTTGTGGTTCCGCCAGTTAAGCTGCCACCTACAACCCTAGCATCCCATATGGGTACTCAGTTGTCTCCTGCCTGCTCCACTTCCAACCCAGTTCCCTGCTAATGTGCTTCAGAATGCAGTGGAAGTATCTGGGTCCCTGTACCCAGGTGGGAGATCCAGCTGAAGCTTCTGGCTCCTGGCTTCAGTCTAGCCCAGCTCTGACTGTTGCAGCCATTTGGGGAGTAAACCAACCTTGAATCTCTCTCTCTCTCTTCTTCTAACTGACTTTGCAACTCCCACTGGTTTGCCTGAGGGCCGAGTATGTGGTGGGCAGAATCAGGTTGGGCTGCAACACCCATTTGTTTGTGTAGAAGATGGGGCTGGAGGCAGAACTGACCCAGCAATTGCAACCACCAGCATATGCATAAGATGACTGTGCCGGATGCTGTACTGGCACACCCAAGATTCAGGTCTGGGATCACCTCAGACATAGATTCTTTGAGGATCCTTCCAACTGAACTGCTGATCTCAGAACCCCAACCATGGAGAGAAGTGCAGGCTTCATGGTCTGACTGTGGGAGTGGATGTGTCAGAGATGGGCCTCCTCAGTGCCTCAGCCGGAGCAGTGGACAGCATATCCAGGTGCACATGGAGGATATGGCAGTCCATTGCAGCCTGCAGAGGACACCTGGCACCACAACAGAGGACTGACCAAACCGATCAACTACCCCAGCCAAGTGTTGGCAGCGAAAATCTGGACAAACGGAGACTCTAAGGTGGACTATGTCAGCCAGTAGATTCTGGAGAGATTTCATCGTGCTTGGAATGGTGAGATTGGCAGCAATTCAGAATAGCTGAACTATCAAAACCACTTGAGCAGTGCCCTCGGAGCATGCCCCACATCAGGGACCCTGGGATGGGTGGGAGGCTGGGTGTGACTTCTCCCCTTATCTCTCCTCTCCCCCCAGATACAGCAAGCAAAAAATGTGGAAACAATGGTCTTACTCACCTTCCTCTAGCCCTTGACCTTATCACCCTGATCAACTATGCAAAGGTCATCAAAATTTAAAATAAGGAAGAAAATAATGCAGAAATTTGCAAGAAGCATCCGTCCCTTTCAGATCCCTTCTATATTCCACACTCACTGAGTAGCTACATCGTTTTTTAAGAAAGAAAGACAAGCCAAGTTTGCCACAGAGGAGATGAGCTGTAAAACATGAGCCAGATCATTCAGCAGAATCCAATACCTGGCTACCACAATTATTGGTTTTGTTTTTTTTTTTTCATGTATTCCTAACGAGGACTGGATCTGGACCAAGATAAGGACACTTAACCCTAAAAGGAAAACGTCCTTGAGTTTTCTTAAAGGATCTCAAAATTGTAATATCAACGTAAAGGAATAAGGCAAATGCTGAGTTCAAGTCAGCTCTAGAAAGTCAGGCTTTTTAAAAACAGCTAGCTCTAGGCTTTCAAAACTCCTCCACCAGAGCTACCTAAACGAAGAACAGAACTTTTACAAACCCCTGTCTCTCAGCTTTGGCTCAGAAGATTGCCATGCGTGGTAGTGAGTGGGGGCAGCAAGGCAGAACTAACAAAGGCGGGATTGCCAGGACTCTCACCATGCTTTACTGCAACGCCCTGCCATGTTCAGTTAAGGGGTTTCAGAATCCAGAAGTCCAAATCCAAAGTATTCACTGAGTTAACAACTACTAAAACCATCGATTTTCAGAGCGGAGGGAGAAACGGCCCTGCCCCCTCATCGATGTTTATTAACAATCACTTATGCAGCACCCACAACAGAGTGCCAGGCTTTGTGCCAAGGGCTTTCCACACGCACAACCCCTTCCCAGGATCCGCGCACCTTGTCTGACATCACCCCCACAGGTCCACAAAGGAGATCAAGGCGCACGACATTCAGCAAACTGCAGGTGCGGGATTGGAACTCACAGCCCCAAACCCATCACCACCTGGGCCCTGGGGGGAGAAGGGCTACCGCGGCAGGATTCCAGTCAAAGCTCTTTCTATTACCCAAGGAGGTCTTGCACCACACACCAGGGAGGCAGTCGATGACCGTGGAGCCTGCTTGGCTGGCAGAAATAAAGAAGAAAAGGAAGCAGATGACCAAACGTCCCTTCCTATCTGACCACTGAGCCATGAGCCCTCGGGAACTCACTGGGGGGAGGGGTGCGCACCATGAAGCACCCCTCCCCCCACCACAGACAAGCCACAGCTCACACAGACAGCAAGCCCTCCTCACACGCCTGCTCAGTGCCTTAGCTGTCACCAGTTACACCCACAGCTGCCTTCCCGGATGGATGTGGTGCCAGCCACAGCAAGTCGTCAGTGACCAACCGAAGCTGGGTGACAGCACCCAATAATACAGGCTATGTGGGAACCTCTACTCCCCAGCCCCACTGCAGCGGCAAGTTGGCTTGGTGAAGGTCCTCCAAGGAACCCCCGGGGAAGAAGCAGCTACACACAGCCAACTGGACAGCCTTTACTTCCTAAATTCACCCCATCCCCCAAACACCACCAGAAGGCTAGGGAACCAACTTGAACCTGCAGCTCCAAAACGAAACGCAAAGCAAAAATCACAATATCTTAGCAAGGGCAGCAGCTTCCAGACCCTCGACCTGATGCTGCAAACAGCGGTCAGGAAATCCCTCGTCCTCTACACAACCCTGCCTGGTCTCCCAGGGCAGGGCAAGCATGCAGGCCTGAGCGGTAACCCCGCGTCTGAGCGCTCAAAGCCAGAGTAGCAGGAGAGCTCAACTGCAGCGCTCAAACCACGCAGTAAGGAACAGCCCGGTGCAACCCTCCCAGGTCCCCTTCCCGGCCCAACTGAGTCAAGAACCAGCATTGAGACCCTTCCCCCGTCCTGACCACACACAGTCACCCGACATTGACTGACCCCGCACGCGCGTGCACACTGACCTGCCACCCCTGCAGGCACGCCGGCCCTCACGCCGGCATACCTGCCAAGTCACACACCTGCCCCGATGGCACAGACACTTGCTCTCCGCCCCCTCCTCGCAGCTGGCGTCCCTGCCCGCAGTACACCTGCTGGAGCGCACCCCTCGGCCCCCGCCGGCCGCCGCCCTCGGCACTCACCGGAGCCGGCGCCAGCCGTCCCGCGCCGCCCCGCGGCCTGGGGCCCGCCGCCCGCTCCGGCCCGCGGTTCCTGGGCTGCCCGGCCCCGCCGCCGCCGCTTCCCGTCACGTGGGCCCGCCGCCCGGCGCCGCGGAGGGCGGGAGCGCCGTGGTGCCCGAGCCGCCCGGCCGGCCTCCTCGCGCCGCGCCCCGGCGTCCCCGGCTGTGCGCCCCGGAGCCCTGCGCGCCCCGGAGCCCTGCGCGCCTCGGGGCCCTGCGCGCCGCTGCCCAGCCGGCGGGGCCCTGCGCGCCGTGGAGGGCGCTCGGCGCGTTCAGCTGACGCTGGCCGTGACCGCCGCACTCGAGTCTTCTCCTCCCCCCACCTAGGAAAGCCTGGGCTTGGCCCGGCTCGCTAGCCGCCCTGTTCTCTAACGCCTCAACCCGTCCCCACCCCGCCAGGAAAGGCCCGGTGGAAGCTCGCGGGAGCACCTGCTGGAGCCAGGAAGGGATCCCGGCCGAGCCTCAGCCCACGGGCATCCGCCAGCCCCGATGGAAGTGCTCTGTTGGGAAGGGCAGCCCTTCCCCGGGTTCAGGGTTCCTGGACCCCTGGGACTGTATGCAGCTCCCTGAAGCCAGGGCGAGGACCGCCTGATATTTTAGAAGAATCCAGAGGCTGTTTTACCGACTGCTTTTAGGAAAAGTGCATCAAGTGCATGAACTCCTCTTCAAACCATAATCCGATTATGCTCGGACAGAGTTGTCTGGGCAGGAGGAGCAGCAAAGGGCCAAGTTTTCCAGCCGACTTTCAGTGACTTTCGAACCTGCTGACGACCTTCAGCCCAGTTTTCTTCCAGCCCCCAGGAATGTAAAACAAAGGTGTTATCTGAAGCCTGGAGGCCCTTGCCCAACTATCTTTTGGTCTTCTGTTTGAAAGAGGGAGGGAGAGAATGAGGCATCTAAACAAATAGGTTAAGCCATCAAAAAGGAACTTCCTGTGGTCTGCCCCATCCCCTTCTGGGGTGAATTTAGGGTGCAGGCCTGAGCCTCGCTCCTGGGTGCTGCCACTGTGACCCAGTGGGTCACCAGTTCAGCCTCCAGGTGGGGGACAGGTTACAAGAACAAAGATCTGTAACCAACAGCTGCCTTCCAGGCTGAGCAGCAACACACGGATCTGCAAGACCCAGGGTCCATCAGACAGGGAACGAGTTTGTGAAAAATGTACATTAAAAAAAAAAAAATCTGTCCCCAAATAATTGTATCTTTAAATCTGCTCTCCATAAACTTTTTGAAACGTCCGCCTTTTTGTTCATCCTCAGTCTCACACACACATGTGCACAGGACAATTCTGTAGTTTATGCAAAAGATATGTGTTCTAAGACGAACTTACTGCGCAGATACAATGAGTGTCTAAATAGTTCTTGTCCACGCTGACAACTTCACATCTTCCACTACTCTGAGTACCCTACTCACCTTCCTTCTCTGCAATGTAAACGTTTAGGGTGTAGGGGTAGCGTGACCCACGTCTGCAACTGGGACCCTCTGTGTCCTTTCCATAAGATCCATCACCATTTCCATTCGGGCTGGCATGATGGCTCAATGGACTAATCCACTACCTACAAGTGCTGGATCTCATCACAGAGGCTCTACTATCCCATGGATTGGCAGATCGCCTATGCTCCCCGGGAAAGTCAAATGGAGCATAGTTCAACCTTACCAACTGCACTTTTCCATGGAGACCCTGGATCAGTTTCCCTGTCAACCTTGCCTGCTTGATCAGATCTCAGCTTTTTGGCTGTTTGCAGCCTCACTGGGAAGTGATTACCAGCGGATCTGCAGTAGATCCTTTTTCAAACTCGTTGTCTACTCCTCTACTGTAAAATATTCCATCCCAATAACAATACAATACGTGTTTTTTTAAAAAAAAGTCAATGGGTACATATTTTTTTATTCATAATCTGATGATCAAAGACATAGACTTCATTCACAATCCAATATCCATGCATCTTTTTTGTCTAAGAAGACTTCACAAATACAATACCAACTAATGTGTTGCTTACCACTGTCACGTTCACTTTTCCAACCGTGTAATCATGATACATGTCCTTTCTTTGGCAAATTCATGACCCACAAATCACCATAAAAATTCCCAACATCCCCCCCCACTATAACAAGAGACCCCATCTACAACTCAAAGTCCTGAGTATACCACTGTATTCATGACATCACACCAGTTCGCACACACCATTTACGCCAAGTACTTACTAACACTACCGACTCTACTTGGCTATGCGCAATTCACAACACCCCTACCCTATAGTTTAGCCCCATCAGTTGATAACAATACCCTCCATACCCCCAACCCAACATCACCCATCAATATGGGCAGCTGGTTACAAAGTCCTACAACTGTCCACTCCCAACGCCACATTTCCCTCACCAGCTCCCGTGCTTGTGGCCCTGGGAAATGCTGTCAATTTTCAGGATTAAGCCCTAAGCCATGGGGGCCCGCATTCCCTACGTGGGGAGTTCCCGAAGCAGGCTTCTTGGCTTGGATCACCATCCTCATTAAAACTCTGGCAAACATTGTCGCATCCACTTGGGGCAAAACACTCACACACCACCAGATCCCACAGATCTTCCTTTCCTGTCATGCTCCTCTGCCTTTCTAATTATATTATCCAACCCAATCACTTATTAAACAATTGACGCCCAGTCATGATTGGCCAGGAAGGAAAGCGTGTGCTGTGTGTTTTGTGCCATCCCTCCTCACTTTGTTCTTGTCCACTGAATGTCCAAAAAAAACCACGATAATCAAGACATGGAGCCCAAAATTACTTACTGTCACTACTAAACACACACCACAATCTAACTATCCACCAGGAATTCATCTCAGCCTACACACCTCCACACTTTTGGAACCTAGTCCACAGAACAAAGAAAAGAGGAGCAGACTCACAGCCAAACTGAGTTCAGTATCACAGACGTAACCCCAAAGAGGTGACCAGCTACCGATGTGTGGACAGAAGCAGCCCGTGACTTAGGGTTGAGGATGTTCTGAGAGCTTGGGGGAGTTCAGAGAAATGAGGATGTGGGCAGAGGCTAGAATTGCTTTTTGAGGGCACTTTCAAACTTGATAGGTTTTGCACCCTGGGAAGGTAGAAGGAGATGTAGGTGGATCTTATCAAATGGCTGCTGGATGCAAAAGGTCTACAGAAATGCAGTGTAAAGGTCCTGGGGGACACTGCATTTGGGAATTCTAACAAGGGAGCCAGACTTGGGTTCTCACCCCATCACAGGTAACTACTACACTTTTAGGAGGTTTGGTGTGATCATCTTGGTTTGGCTAATCATCTTCCTGCAAGCACCAGAATGCCTCATGTCTCGGATGCTTCCTTCTTGATCCAGCTCCCTGCTTATGACCTGGAATGCAGTAGAGGCTGGGCCAAAGCCTTGGAACCCTGCACCATGTGGGAGACCGGGAGGAGGATCCCAGCTCCTGGCTTTGGATTAACTTGGCTTCAGCCATTGCAGCCATTTGAGGAGTGAAACAGCGCATGGAAGATCCTTCTCTGTCTCTCTTCCTCTCTGTAAATATGTCTTTATAATAAAAATAAATATTAAAATATGTTAAAAACCCAAATAATACATTTTCAAAATTGAGCCTATTCTTTCTGTTGGAAGTCACACTCTACTAGTGACAGTGATTCCAGCCCCTTCCTTTTCGTCAGGGTGATGTTTGAGTGGGAGACGCCTGACCTACCTAAAAGAGGAAGACATCACTCCCCCATCCGTGGTTCCTAAGTAGAAGCGCTCTGTCCATTCTGGTGCTCAGTTCCCTGTCTTTTGCTTTGGGTCTTAAATAGGTCAGCCATGTTAATGGCTTCCTTGCCAGGCAGTGAGGGAGGCATTTGAGGCATCAGCTTTGCACACCCAAGTCTTTCCACAGCCTCTCCAGCAGAACTGCCTCCATCGGTCCACTGCAGCAGAGCCCCGCTCTACCAAAGCTCTGTGCAAGAACGAGTGGGCAGCCCTCTCCAGTCTGCCTCCCTGGAGCCAAGGGAGAACCTGCAAATCGCATTCCATCTCTCCTCTCCTGATTTTTTGACAACATTCCCTTTGGAGCCTTTTGCCTCAGACACCTAATATTAACTCATCTAGTTTTTTTGGCGGGAGGGGGATTTATTTACTTTTATTGGAAAGGCAGATGTACAGAGAGGAGGTGAGACAGAGAGGAAGACCTTCCATCTGATGATTCAGTCCCCAAGTGACCGTAACAGCCAGAGCTGAGTCGATCCAAAGCCAGGAGCCAGGAGCCAGGATCCTCTTCCAGGTCTCCCACACGGGTGCAGGGTCCACTGGGATTAGAACCGGTGCCAATATGGGATCCCAGCATGTGCAAGGTGAGGACTTTAGCCGCTAGGCTACAGTGCCAGGCCCTATTTGATTTAGTTCCAAGCAAAGAAATACTTTGATGGGCCTGGCATGATGTCTCAATTGGCTAATCCTCCTCTTGCAAGCATCAGGATTTCATATGGGCACCAGTTTGGGTTCCAGTTGCCCACTTCCCATCAAGCTCCCTGCTCTTGGCCTGGAAAAGCAATTGAGGATGACCCAAAGCCTTGGGACCCTGCACCCACATTGGAGACCCAAAAGAAGCTCCTGGCTTTGGAATGGCTCAGCTTTGGCCATTGAAGCCACTTGGGGAGTGAATCAATGGTTTTAAGATCCTTTCCATCTGTTTCTCCTTCCCATTGCAAATGTTCTTTCCAACAAACATAAACAGATTTTTTTAAATTTATTTTTTGAAGATTTATTTTTATTGGAAAGGCAGATATAAAGAGAGGAAGATCTTTCATCCAATGGTTCACTTCCCAAGTGACCACTAAAGCCGGTGCTGCGCCGGATCCGAAGCCAGGAGCCAGGAGCTCTTCCGGGTCTCCCACACAGGTACAGGATCCCAAGACTTTGGGCCATCCTCAATTGCTTTTCCAGGCCACAAACAGAGAACTGGATGGGAGGCAGGACCGCCGGGATTGGAATCGGCAACGATATGGGATCCCAGTGCGCAAAGCGTGCAAAGGGAGGACTTTAAACACTACACTATTGTGCCGGGCCCAGATCATTTTTTTTTTTTAAAAAAGGAAATACTTTTAAATTGGGAAGTACTGGAGAGGGGGGGAAAAAAAGCTCTTTGCCACAGAGTCTTTTTTGTGGATACAGAGCTTAAAGTTTCAGGTTAGGTCCTTGGTTCAGAAAACCACATGGAACAAGAACATGGCGAGGACTTGCAGCCATATTCTCAGACTGTTAAACCCAGCTCTTTTCCCTCTTGCACTATCCTGGTACTTCCCCTCGATGACAATTAACACAGGCTGTGTCAGATTGTGAAGCAGAGGCACAGTTACCGCTCAGCCTGTGGCCCCAAGCCTCACAGCACAAACATGGCATGCCAGAGCTCATCTCTGCCGCGAGGAAGCTACAGCTGGGAGGCATGGAGCGCTGGTCCGAGTGTGGCAGGAGCCAAAGGGCCAGTTGAAGTCTGGACAGCCCCAAAGCCTACCCTTTCTGCTCTTTGCTAGATTGTCTCCCATGGTTAAAAAGCAGCTTCCAGTCTGTAGCTGCTGCTCTTTGCCAAGCACGTTATGCAATTTCTATAGCATTTTCCTGATGCCGTCGTTGCATTAGAACAGAATATGAGCAACTGCCTGTTCCCAGCCCAGACTCCTCCCCACGGGGCTGTTTTGCCACTGGACAGTGAGCTTCCCTCTCGAAGAGGAGGAGGGGATGATGCCAGTGACAGGGTTTCAATGCTAAGAACAGCACCTCACATTTATGATTCAGAATATCATTTATGCCCTTACCCTCCAACCTGGGGCATTTCAATACCTGCCTCACCTCTAGTTAAGGGTTCAGTCATTGTGGATGAAAACTGTCTGAATCTCTCCCAAATGAGTGCTATGGGCACTAAAAGGAAAGACAGTGATGGCTTGGGTCTCCTTTCAGTCCTCAGACAGTTTCAGGACCTAAACTATATAAACTAGCACATGCATCGGTGATTATGAAAAATTGCCAAAGTATCTCCCAGCTTTATTTTGTTCTTTCGACACAGTGTCTCATCTACTTTTCACTACTCAAGATTTTATCTTTTGGTATTCTCAGTTCATGAGCATAAATCTCCCGGAAACCGATAAACAGTCGGAAACAAGTCATTCCATTTAAACCTCTTTCCCATTATACAAAAGTGCAGATTTCTTAACTCTTAACACTAGCTGACTCCAACTATAAACTTGCATCAACAAATGAAGTTCATCAGCCAAATACTTAAGAGTCTTGTTGCTTCTTTTTTTTTTTTTTAAAAAAAGATTTTTGTTTGAACGGCAGCCTGTGATCTCGAAGTTTCTCAACCTCAGTGCCCTGTTTTAGAGGCATGATCAAAACGCACGGGTCCTCCTCAAAAAGCTTTTCCCAGACAATCCCAGTAAAACGCAGCCAAGTTCCAAGAAGCGTTCGCGGTAGCCGGCGTTTTCTTGGCTGGCTGTTCTTTTTCTTAGGTGATTATATTCTTATGTTATTATAATTTTCTTAATTCTGAATGTGAAGGCTCTTTGACCCTGGGGTTACAAACTAATGTTTGGCCGCACAGGGGGCTGATGAGACGACACACAATAACCGGGCTGACAGGAGAAGTGACTTCGGGTGGCCGGTGACCCGTCAGGGTCAATGTCCGCCACCTTCTCCGATTCCCTTCGGCCTCCGCCACCCGACGTCACCGCGGACGCACTCCATCCTGGCCAGCGGCGTGGGCTTTGCTCATTCCTTTCTCAAGACTCGACATTCCTGTTTTTTCTTTCTTTCTTTTTTAATCCCCTTTGTTTTCCCTCAGCGAACACGGAGCCCAAGGACGCCCGCAAAACCGTACCCGGCCACCAGAGGCCTGACAGGCGCGCGGCGCGCTCAGTGACGTCACACAGGGGTGCCAGTCACTTCCGGGCCGCTTCCTTCTCGAAGCTTTGTGGGTAGCCAGCCGGGGGGTCTCCTGGCGACGACGATGGCGGGGGATGTGGGCGGTCGCAGCTGCAAGGACTCGGAGCTGCTGCTGCACCCGGAGCTGCTGTCGCAGGAGTTCCTTCTCCTCACGCTGGAGCAGGTTGGGCACGCCGGGGCGGGTGGGCCTCGCTCCCGGCAGCCCGCGGTGACGACAGCCCCTGCCGCCGGCGTCGTTTCCTTCCTGCGGGGCTGCTGACCACCCTCTTCCACCCACGCAGGCCCCCGTGTGTGGAGAAGAGGCGGGCTTGGCGTCTCGGCAATCCCTGGGGGATAGGGCTGCACGGCCGCGGCCTGGGTGTGAGCAGGGGCTGCAGGCAGCGAGGGAGCGGGTACGAGCGGGGAATGAGGCTGGCCGAGTCGGTCAAGGGTGCATCCCGCACTCCCCAAGCAAGCCGCTTGAAAGAGGTGCTGATGGCGGGTCCCAGAGAGACTGGACACACACCGGCCGGCAGCGGGGTGGGCAGGAGGTGTTCCTGGGGGCTTTTGTGCTTTTCCAAAACTTCAGTATGCTACTTTCCCACGTCCTCCTAAGTGGGTGCCTCTGGTTGACCAGCTTCTTCAGGACATCAGAGCCGCCTCCTTCCCCCTCACCCCCACAACAGTTGGTAAAGCACAGATTCCATCCCGGGGCCACGTCCATGGTCAGTGGATCAGGGATGTCCCGACACATTTGTATTTTAAACCAGTTCTGGCTGCTAGTCCGAAAGCCACAGATGGAGAATCTTTGCCCCAAGGTGCAAAATAATGTGACTGAGTCCTTGGGGAATGTGGTCCAGAGGAATGCTGGGAGTGGAGATGACGTGGAAAGACACCAAAGGGCCACCGTAGGGAAGAGGGGAAGAAAAAGCTGGAGATATTTCCACCCATAAACAGAAATGTGTTCTCCACAATCCGTGATGGAAGTACGGGGAGAGTTGGTGTCTGGTCGGGGTTGCTTGCTGACAGCTGCCCTGGCTCGGGGCCTTCCCCCATAAGTGCCTGTGGCTAAAGCTGAAACGTGCTTCAGATTTCTTAACACACTTGACCCAAGTTTATTGGAAGACATCATTGGTTGTACTGAACCCAGCGTTGTCAGGCGTTTCTCATTTGTGATGTCATTTCCACGCTCGGTTCTAGATGCAGACTTGTCTGGGTGCCCGTTGCCTTGCATCTGCTGTGTGTTGCAGCGTGGTGAGGAGGTCTGAGGGGGTGATTAGACAGAGACGACTGGACCAGACGCATGGTGCTGGGGAGGGAAAGCAGGCTGCCCTGGCGATGTGCCGTTGTTGTCAGCTGTGAGAGCTGCTTTCCATCTGCACGCTGTTCAAGTCTTGGAAAGAATCTCAATTCAAGAGCAAGAACGAGTGCGAGCCCGGGACCTCCGTCCCTCTAGCCTGCTCCTAACGCTCAGGGTAGCTTACTGGCACAGCGTGCTAACTGAGGCCGTTATTAACTTATTTCCCGTCCCCTTGATAAATTATAAAGATGCTCCTGGCGGGGTCTTCATGCCTAGTGTGTTGGCTGAGCTGTTGTGAGTAGCAGTGCTTCAGTGCGGACATGCGGCTGTTGTCTGTCAGATGACGCTGTAATATTTGCAGACCTTAAACCGCTTACATTGTTACAGGACTTTGATTCATGCTTGTAACTGTGAAAGTGGTTTTCTAGCATAGTATTGAAGGAGTGCCTTACCTTGCTAGCTAAGAAGATGATTAGTTATTAAAAAATTTATTTTGCACAGAAAAACATAAGTGTTGAAAACGACGCACGAATAAACAAAGACGATCTCACCGATCTCTATGTCCAGCATGCAATCCCGCTGCCTAGGAGGGAGTTGCCGAAGAACAGGTGGGGCAGAATGATGGAAAAGAAGAGAGAGCAACATGAGAACAAAGCTGAGGCCAGAAGGTACTTTCTGATTGTTCCAGTTTTCATGTTAAAACGTGTTTGATTTAAGCAGTTTGCTTTGCTTTTTTTTTTTTCTCTCTAGATAGACTTAATTTAAAAAAAAAAAAAGTTTTTTAACCATTATGGAGCACCATGAGGTGTTGAGTGCCTTTTTGCTCTTCTCTAAGTTAGGATTAATTTAGTTAATTCTAAGAATAAATTTGAAGGAATTACAGAGAGAAATCGTCCATCCTCTGGTCCCATTTCAATATTTATGAAATATTCCATAAAATCACAAGAGAATGTTTTTTTTTGTTGTTTGTTTGTTTGAGAACTCTATGTTTGATTGGTCGACATCTGATTACTTAGTCCAAAGTGTGCCAAGTTCAGTAAGTGAGCTGCTAATATCTTCCATGTCTGTGTACCCCCAGTGGGTGTTATTGATCGGTTGCTTAGTTTATTTTTAGGGCCTTGTGCTTATGAGGCACCCCTTTGGGCAGTACCCTAGAGACAGTAAGAAAGGACTGGGGAGGGAGATGGATGGAGGAACACATGGCTCCGGGTTAGTTGGTGGTTTGAATGCATTTCATGAGTGAGATTATTCCCCAGGCATGAGACATGTCTGCTGCTAATCTTTAAGAAAGGGTGTACAGGGCCCGACACAGTAGCCTACTGGCTGAAGTCCTCATCCTGCATGCATCGGGATCCCATATGGGCGGGCACCAGTTCTAATCCTAGCAGCCCGGCTCCTCATCCAGCTCCCTGCCTGCGGCATGAGAAAAGAACTTGAGGATGGCCTAAAGCCTTGGGTCCCTGAACCTACATGGGAGACCTGAAAGAAGCTCCTGGCTCCTCGCTTTGGATCAGCTCAGCTTGGGCCGCTTGGGGAGTGAATCGGTGGGTGGAAGATCTTTCTTCTCTCTGTCTCCTCTCTGTAAAATCTGCCTTTCCAATACAAATAAATAAATCTTTTTTTTAAAAAAAGGTGTACAGTCTTGCTTTTGATCAAGACTAAATTTCAGTTCAGATTAGGCATTTTAGTTTCATATTCATGTTGGTTGTGTATTCATGTAGGCTGTGCGTTAGTGTTCAGGAAGCCTGTGGAATTGTAAGCTAAGCTTCTGCCCGCACTGCATCTCCTATGTCGCTGATTTCAAGTTCTGTTGTCCCACTTCTGGTTCAGGTCCCTGCGTGTGGCCAGGGAAATCGGCGAAGGCTGGCTCAAGTTTTGGGTCTCTTCCCCCATGTGGGGGACCTGGAGGAGGCTTCTGGTTCCTGGCTTCAGATTGGCTTCTCTCTGGCTGCTTCAGCCATTTGGGAAGTGGGCTAACAGGTGGAACGTCTCTCTCTGTCTCTCTCTCCTTTGCTCTGTAACTCCACCTTTCAAATCAGAACAATTTCTTTTTGAAGAGTGGAAATTAGATTTTCAGAAGCTAAATATGAAAACTTTCCACTTATCCAAATGTTCAGTGAGTTTAGAAAGGCCTGGCTGTAGAGGTGTTTATGGAATACAGTAGCTTATTCTGCCCCGGTGTGGGCTGTGGCAGGGCTACTCATGCAATACTTTTATTGGTCATTATCCTTCCTAAGTTACAACAAAGATTTATTTACTTTTATTGGAAAGTCAGAGAGAAGGCGATACAGAAAGACCTTCTATCCACCGATTCACTCCCAGATTGCTACAATGGCCAGAGCCAGGAGCCAGGAGCCAGGAGCCAGGAGGTTCTTCTGGGTCTATCACGTGGGTGCAGGGCCATCCTCGACTGCTTTCCCAGGCCACAAGCAGGGAGCTGGAAGGGAAGTGGGGCAGCCAGCACGTGAACTGGTGCCCACATGGAATCCTGGAGCTTGCAAGGTGAGGATTTAACTACTGAGTCATTGTACTGGGCCCAGTGATTTCTTTTTTAAGGAACTATCCTTTGAAATTCTGGAGATAGTGGATTAATCGGTTTTTAAAAATAGTTGTACCCTTGTGTATTCTCTAAAGTCAGCTTTGCACTGGTAAATATTTTCAATTGTAAAGCACTGGAAAATCTCATTTCCACCAGTCCGTGTTCAACAGGTTAGTCTTATCAATAAATCTTGTTTTTTGTTGAACTTTGAGCACCAGTGCATCAAGTTGCCCCTCTGGATGGGTTTGACCAGAAGTACGTTCTTTTGGTTCCAGGGATAACACTGTAGATGGATTAAGAAAAAGACCCCTCATTGTGTTTGATGGAAGCTCAACAAGTACAAGCATAAAAGTGAGAAAAACAGAAAATGGAGATAACGAGCGACTTAAGCCGCCCCCTCAAGCAAGCTTTACCAGCAGTGCCTTTCGAAAATTATCAAATTCTTCAAATGTTTCACCCTTAACTCTGTCTCCCAATTTGCCTATGAACAATAAAATGGAACACAGTGATAATGACACTAAGCAGAATCATGACCTAACACATAGCAAAAGCCCTTCCTGTGTCAAGTCCCCACCCTTGTCCCCTGTCGGAACTACGCCTGTGAAGTTAAAGCGAGCCGCCCCGAAGGAAGACGCAGAAGCTATGGTAAGTCAGGGCCGGGTGGGGGCCTCCTAGCCTGAGCTAGTCAGCCCTGTGCTGTTCTGGAACCTTCTAATGGCCTGGTTTTTATATCTCATTACTCAGGTGTTTGAACCCTGGAGTTTTTTTTTTAAGATTGATTTTTATTAGAAAGGCAGATTAAAGAGAAAAGGTGAGACAAAGATTTTCCATCCATTGGTTCACTTTCCAAATGGCTCCAAGGGCGGGAACCTAGCTGACCCCAAGCCAAGAGCCCCTTTCTGGGGGGGCACAGGGTCATGAGGTTTTGGGCTGTCCTCCGCTGCTTTCCTAAACCACAAGCAGGGAGCTGGGTGGGAAGTGGAGCAGCCGGGGCACGAACCGGTGCCCACATGGGATGCTGTCACCACCACGGTGGAAGATTAGCCAGTTGAGCTATTGTGGCAGCTCCCTCTGAACCCTGGAATTTTAAAGTTTGTAATTATGTTTTTACAAGTATATTCAGTTTATTTCGGCTTAAAATGCTTGAAGAGAGAGTGTGTTAAGTAGTTTTCCTAGACAGTTATCATTGAGTTTAACGATCTTAGAGGTGAAAGACAAATGCCCGTTTATTAGGATAAACCATAGGGTCACGCATTCGGGACCTGACCTTAAGTCTGTCATTTGCACTTATCTTGAAATCGACACCAGAATCTTGGAAGAGTTGCCCTTTGACACCTCTCTTCCTCAAGAGTGACTGGCTTTGGAAGGATTGCGGAAGTGATATGGGACTCTGTTAATGCTGTGCTCTACGATATTGAAGCATTTGGATTTGCTGGCAAAATTGGTACAGTTATACCAACTTTTCTTAAAGATTTATTTATTGTTATTGGAAAGTCAGATATACAGAGAGGAGGAGAGACAGAAAGATCTTCCATCCGATGATTTACTCCCCAAGTGAGTGCAACGGCCGATGCTATGCATAACCGAAGCCAGGATCCAGGAACTTCTTCTGGGTCTCCCACACGGGTGCAGGGTCCCAAGGCTTTGGGCCGTCTCGACTACTTTCCCAGGCCACAAGCAGGGAGCTGGATGGGAAGTGGAGTTGCCGGGATTAGAACCGGCACCCATATGTGATCCCGGTGCGTTCAAGGTTGGGACTTTAGCCGCTAGGCCACACCGCCGGGCCCGTAAGTGTGTGTTTAAACAGCTTCATGGCTGTTATTCCTGTCATGGACTTTGGCTTGGTTGTCCTCTTCTGATGGCCTGGCAAAAGGACCTGACTCTCCACACGGATGGACTTTGGACAAAGAGAACGACTCACCCTTACTTGTGTTAGTTTAGTAAATGCTGTCATAGGCTTGTGAGGTTGGCTTTGCTATTCCCATTTCATGGTTGAGGAAACAAAGGCTTGGAGGGTTTAACTCTCCATTCATTTTAAGTGGAACTAAGCCAAGTACGCTTGCAAAAACCTTGATCATCATGGATTTTAAAATGCCAGGGGTCAGTGCCTGAGGTGAGATGCGAAACTCAGGATGTAACATGACAGAGTTGAGGACTGCAGGCTACAAAGCAGGGTCATCCTGAATCCCAGAGTCAGTGACCAGGCTGCTCCCGGGCTCCCGTGTGGCACAGCGTGTTGCGTCCGCTCCTTCAGCCACCCTCGTGCGGCTTAGAGGCTGCAGGGTCCAGCTCAAGCAGTAAGGAATGAGCCTCCTGGCTTCTTGCTTTCAGGGCTCCACCCACCCAGAGGAATTTTACCTCAGTGCTGTGATGTTACCTGGATTTGAGAATCTTATGCTACTGATTCTGAACTGAGAAGTTGTATGGGGACATGGACAAGGCAGGCACGAGGCAGGTCTGAGGTGGTCAGCAGGTCTCAACTCTGTGTGAGAGAGGCTCACCTAAGGAGCTGCCAGAAACCCAGGGTGCTTTTGACTTGTTCTGGGGAAAGCAATGGTCTGGGTGTGTTCTAAGTGTTGGGTGGTTTATAGTGCAAGCCTGTGCAAGCCTGTGCGTTTTCTTGATTGCTCAAGGATTCTCCACCAGGTGGCAGCAATGATTCCCCAAGAATATATCCTTGGTAAACCGTGGTGGTTTCAAATGTTTGCTGGCATTTTTCTTTACATTTCTGCAGGTATAAACTGTTTCCGCTCATGTCTTTCAGAATAGCCTGAAGCCTCCGGAAGCAAAGAGGAAGATACAGCATGTCACATGGCCATGAAGGAAAGTTTCCAGAAATGTAAATATAACTGTAATTGTAGTTTTTCAAGCAGGTTCACTTATATTGACAGTATTCACAGAGATCCCGATTATTGTGGCATTTTCTTTAAGAAATTTAAAAATAGGTTTAGAAGAATAGTATTTTTTTTTTCTCCTCCTTTTTCAAAGATTCTTGCCTTTCATCTCTGGATAAGCAAAGAATTTGTTTTTAAAGCAGTGGCTTCATATGCATTTATGTTTACACTAGTCGAAGCATTAGCTGCAAGTCTGGTATAAAACATCTAATGGATTTTAGAAATTATAGTCTCTTACAGTCTTTGGGAAAATCTGAGATTTTTTTTTAAACTCAGATGTTTTACATGTTTTTCATTTTTATTAAAGCAGAAGCGTAGAACAGTTAATCACAGTATTTTCATAACTCCTGCCACACTCACCCTCCCATCTTCACCAAGAAAATGTTTTGTAGTGTTGCTGCGGAGCCCTTCAGAACGGACAGCTAAAACCACAGCTGCTGATCGCTTCTTCCCGCCCGGAGAAGGGCCGGTCAGCGCTCACTAAGCCGCCTCCCCCTGAGCCGCACACGGAGCTGACCCATGGTGACCGCACTGACCCTTCGCGAGTGTGTGCCTGTCCAGGCGTCTGTCGCAGCGGCTCGGCAGGAGCAGCCCGTGGTCTCTCTGTGAGCTGAGCCGTTTCTCCCTCCTGGCAGCCTAATCCTTTCCCAGTGAAGTTGATCTAACAGGGTGAATAAACATGTTGGCAGTGGGACCCGATGGTGGTGAGTGTAGAGGTAAGGAGGCCTGTAAGAATTCTGGAGCGTAGGAGATTCCAGGACGTGTTGGGGGGAGCCTCAGGCTGGTCTGGGGGAGCTGCACAGGAGGAGCTCCTGGAGCCGCAGACGGCTCAGCGGACTGGCCGCTGGGCAGCGGACAGACGGAAGGACCTGGCAGGTTTCCTCATTCGTTTTTTGTTCAGGTGATACTGTCACTATGATTAGCGAGTGAAAATCCGTGAGAAAATAGCTTGCCTTTGTGACTGTGAGTTCTAGTACCTACTTTGCCCCTGTGTGTTTCTAATGAAAAGCAAAATATGCTTTCTGCTTTTCTCTGTGGGTGGTTGATGCTCAGCACGTTTTAGAGGATTCTCCTCTGCCGATTGGTTGAAACAAGCATTGTAGTTTGTTTATTGCATAGCCTTGCAAAAATGAATTCAGCCTTGCAGGTAACGAGTGTACAAAGACTCTAACCCAGTGGTGTTTAGCCACTCTGCCCTTATTTCAGACTCTAAATTTGTAAACAGATGATGCAGTTGTTATGCAAACATATTGAGTGTTGTACAAATTGTTAGCGTTACAGTAAACTGTTAAATGTGTAATTATCTGCAGGGCTGATCGATGAGGTATTGGTGATGGGCAACTGTGATCCCATCCGTAAATACATGCTAAGAGGGATTTTTCAAAGTGCAGATTTTGAAGTAGAATGACAAATGATATTTTGCATTCAGTTGTCCCCTCTGCTTTCATCATTACTTCTCTCTTATTTAAGAGAGAGTTAGCCACTTGACGATTTTCAGTCAGTAGCAACTTTTAGTTACTCAGTGAAATTAATTTTTAATTTGTATATTTAACTTACAGAGTAGGTTGGTAATAACAGCTGAACTGTGTAATATTGTTGCTTCAAATTGAAGTTTATAAACTTTCAAACTCGATGCTCATACAGCAGCATTTTATTGAAGTCTTTTGAGTTTAAGGCATGGAGAAGCACTGACTCCTCTGTACTCCGTATTACATGGGCCTGCCGTGGCGGGGCGCTGTGCCTCCTGGGGGTGCAGGCCCATGGGTGTCTCAAGACTCCTCCATGCTCAGCCGTGCTGGGTGACTGGGGATGTGGGGCAGCAGCAGGGGGCATCTCACCCGAGACTGTGACTTGCTTGAAAAGGTCTGAAGGACTCGTTTTGAATGGTGAACAGTTTCAGAACATCCTTCCCTCACTGACATGGTTTAATGTGCCGCTCTTGATCCTGTATTGCAGGACAGTCAGATTTTCTTTAGTTGGAGCAGGCAGATGTGTTGGAGCCAGAAGCCAGCTCTCAGGTGTCACTCCGGGCACCGCTGTCCGTGCAGAGCAGGTGCACTTTGTCTTTGCTCGTTTTCCCTTTCTTTGCTTCTTCCCCCCTCTTGTACTTTCCTCACATGCTTGCTTTTTTTCCTTCCATATGCTTTCTCCTGTAGATCTTAAATTTCAGGCTTCAATTTGCGAAGTGTGTTTCTTGGCCTACTCATTCCCTGGAGGATGAGGCAGGCTGACTCGGGCTCCTGCAGCTGAGGGATCATAGATTGCTGTGTAGGTTCTGCAGAGGGTCAGGCCCCCGCACTGAACTGCTTCCCCGTGGCTCTGAAGGTTGTACAACTCCCCGGAATAGCCTTCTGATCTAAACAGCTACTAGGCTCTTGGAAATTCGGTTCTACTACTTACATGAGGCCGTAATGTATTTGCTGATACTTAAATCTTCAGAATTGGGATTATTATTTGAAATAGTACTTTGGTTGACTTAAGTTTTGAGAGATGATTCTAAAACCCTTCTAGAGACTCATTCGATAATAATGAACTGTTTGAAACTTACATTAAGTAAAACTGCCAGTAGATTAAACCACATATGTATGTGAGCGCTTCCTCTAATTTACTACTGGGGAACTTGAGTAGTTTGTAAAGGTGGCAAAATGGTCAAATGTTTTTAAGTGTGCTCTTTTATTAAATGCTTGTGCAGGTTTTGTAATTCAGTACAGAAAAGTTTAACCTTATAATGTGCATTTTTTGTATATAAGAAGTCTTTTTAAATAGCCTTATCCTTATTTAAATAAACTAAATAAAATTATCTTGAGTAAGTTTGTCATTGATAATAAAATGAGAATAAGCTCTAAAATGCACTGATGAGTAAACAGTCTAGAACTCTGCCTCGATGGGGTTCAGCCATGGTCATGATAGTCCAGCCACACCTTTGGATCCTGGAGATGGGAGAGAGGCTAGAACAGCCTGGCTTGGGGGATGTCGGTGCTGCAGAGGCCAACCTGTTGACTGACACAGTACTGTGAGGGATAGGAACTAGTCAGTGTTCCTTTAAAGTGGTACAGACCGGAAATTCATTGCGAGTTCGGGGTGACCCTTTGGAAAAAAAAAAAAGAAACTGAATTTTTATACACTGGGTGTTAATGCTGCTGAATTTTTTTAAAATTTTATTTTTGATGATGTTTACATAGTTGATCAGGGTGGGAAGGGTCGAGGATCAGGGAATAGTAGGTGAGACCATTGGTTACACTTTTTTTCTTCTTGTATATGCGGGGAGGGGGGGAGATACAAGAGGAGAAACCATGCCCAGTTTCCCACCTGTGGCATTACCCAAGATGTTCCCCACCCAAGGTCTTGCCAGGGTCCCCGCTGTGGAGCATTTTCTGAGCATTCTGCTCATTTGGATTTGATAGTTCTGAGATGGCTGCTGATGCCACCACTCCATGGAGGAGGAAATCCTTTCAAGGTCGATTGGCCGTCATAGTTCACCTCCGAGTCTTCATTGCTTCAGAAATTTGCTGTCAAGCTTTGCTGGGGTAGTTGATCAGTTTGTTCACCCCTCCATCCTCAGCAATCCAATGGGTACTGCAGCCCAAACCAGCCTGCCAACACACGCTCGGCTCTCACATACCTCAGGAGGAGCTGCAGTCCAGTCAAAGCAACTCCAATAACCCTCACTGGCCTGGTCCCCCAGCTCCTGTTCCTGTGCCTGCCAGCATGTGCAGTGGACTGCTCCGGTCTGCCCCATATCCCATTGAGATTTCGTATACATCACTGGACTTTGAAGCCTACCTTGACCCAACCGACTCTACCCTTCAGCCAACACTCATGCCAGCAGGTTCTACTTCCTGTCCAGCCAGGCCCGCCCCCAGTCCTAGTACTCACCAGTGGGAGTTGCAGCCCATCAGAGAGGATCCCACAACCTCCCCATAGACTCACTCCCGACCCCAGATATTATGCTTTCTAGGTGGTATTTCTGTCTAGCCTTACAGAACTTGTCTCCAGTCCTGGCACTTGCCAGCTGAGGCTGCAGTAAAGCCCAGGCAGGCTGCACTTAACTGCAGCTCATGCATGCACCAGTGGATGTGGTCACTTAGCCAGCCTGGTTCTCTCTTTAACACAGCTCACATGCAGGCCAGTAAGTGTTGTAGCCATACCCAGCCTGGCTTTCATCAAGACCCAACTATCTCTCTCACCAGTGGGAGCAGTGGCCCAGCAGGGAACCCCTGCAGTCTTCTACCTGGCTCACCACTACCTGCCTGGGGTATTAAGTGTGTTGGTGAGTGCTGTGGTCCAGTCTGGCATGGCCTACCTCATATCAGCATTCACCAGTGGGTGCTGAGGCCTGGCTTGGCCCAGCCTGCCCCAAGTTCCAGCTGATGCTGGTGGATGCTATAGCCTAGTTCAGCCCATCCAGTTCCAGTCCAGGCCCTAATGTGAACTGGCTGGTGTTGCGGCCCCACCCTGGTTTTCAGATCTATCTGTGGGTACTATGAACCAGCTTGGCCCAGTCCTCCCCTAGATTTGAGCCATGCATATGCTGGTGGGTTTTGTAACATAGCCTGATCTGGACTCCTCCCAGGCTTGGCTCTTGCTTTTACCCAAGGGGACTGCATCTTGACATAGTTCTCCAGGCTCCTCTATCAGGCCACCTCGCAGTGGCAGATCTTGTGTACACTGGTACTTGGCCTACTTCCTGTCCTGGCATTTACGAGCAGGTACAGCAGCCTTGTCTGACAAGCCCACACCCATTCCAGCTTATTGTTGGGTGTGACAGCCAGCCCCACCTCGTCCACCACCAGACCAAGCTCTCATGTGGTTCAGCGGGCACCAATCTAATGCAGTCTGTCCTACAGCCACTTTGGCTATTGCGAGTACCAGCAGGTGCTGGAGCCTGGCCCAGTCTGGCACACCCCAGGCCTAACAGAGGGATACTGTATCCCTGTTCAGCCTAGTAAGTCACCCCCATTCTGGCTTTTGGGCTCACCAGTGGGACCTATATCCCAGCCAGGGTGTCCCCTTAACTCCCCAGCCAGTCCAGCACCTAGCCATAGATATTGCATGTTCAAGTGTTTGCTCTGGCCTAGCCCAGCATAACCCATCCTCTGCTTTGGTCTTTGTCATTGGATCCTGCAGCCTGGCCTAGCCCGGCCAACCCTTAGTCTCACTGGTAGATGCTTCAGCCTAGTTCTGCTCAGCCTGTCCCCATCCCTAGCTTTCATGCAAGCTGGTAGGCATGATAGCCTAGGCATGGCCCGTACCCCATCCTGGCCCTGCTCATGCCAGTTTACTATGGTTTGGCTTGGTCCACAATCTAAGAGCCTACCCACACAACTACCAGCAAGTGGAGCTTCCTTACCCAGCCTGACCAGTACCTAGCCCTGACTCTCATGCTCAACAGTGGGAGCTGCAGCTTAGAACTAGGAGAGCTCCCCAGGTTCCACAACAGGCCAACTCCAAGACAAAGATCTCAGTTATACCAGTGGATGCTGTAGCCTAGTAGGGGAGTCCCCACATCTCCCCTGCTAGCCTTGGATCTTGTGTGTGCTGGCGTGTATTTGACCCCGCTGTCGGTCAAATGAGCCCACCACTGTCTCAGCTCTCACTGGTGGGTGTTGCAGCCTAACCCAGGTGGAAGTGGCCCACACCCTATCCTGGCTTTTATGTGTGCAAATGGGTGTTATGGTCCGGCCCGGCTCTGTGCGCAGAAGCAGGTTCACACCAATACTAACGAGCCTGCTCTAGGCTGCCCCCACCCTGCCATGGTAAAAGCTATGACCTAGTGGGGGAGTTCCACAGGTTCTCCTACCAGCCCCAGATCTCATGTGTGCTGGTGGGTGCCATGGCCCTGCTTGGGATGATCCTCAGGTGCTGCAGCCCAGCCTTTTCTCAGCCCCCGCTCCCGCAGTTGTCAGTTGAGTTCCTGTCAGGTGAATTGAGTGGCTCAGCCTGGCTCAGCTCATCACCACCCCTAGTTCTGGCACAACCAGCAGGAGCCGCAGTCCCACAGAGGTGAGATCAACATTCCCCTGCAGAATCTGCCCCCAGTTCTGGCTCTCTTGTGTTCTGGTGGTGCTGCAGCCCAGCCTGACATGGCCTACCCCTGCTTTGAACTCAGTGGTGGGAATTGCAGCCCAGCCTAGCCAGGCATTCTCCCCAGCCTCAGTTTTCATGTTCACTGGTAGGTGGAGGGAGATGCTACTTAGCCTCGCTCGGGTCTCCCATGTGGGCAGGTGTCTTGGCCTGACCTGGTGATGCACTCTGGCTTCCCCTCCTCTAAACCGCTCCTTGCCTACCTGTGAGTATAGTGGCCCAGTTGATGGAGGACCACAGAAATCCCTGCTCCCCTATGAAAGATGCTGTCAGCCACTCCTGCTGCAACACACCCAGACCCC